TCCTACGCACTGGAGTGCACTGCTTTGGTACAAAAGTTTTTAAAATATAATTTTTTTATCAAAATGTCACCTTCTAAAGTTAAAAATATTTTTTTTTGACAAAAATATATTCAAAATACGAATAAAAAAAAAACAGGAACACACGTGATTTTTGTTGCCCTATAACTTTTTTCCACAGAATTATGGGTATAGGCAATGCTCTCTAGAAAAAAATTCCTCCCGTTTAAAAGTTAATATAGTACAAGTATTTAAGGTTTATGGTATCCAAGATACGATTTTTCAAAGTTTGTCACACAACATTTTTGGTCTATTTTCTCTATTTTTTCGCAAAAATTGTTCTATAATTTTTTTCTATGTTGTTTTAGGTATGTGCCTTAAATGTGTACATTAAATAAAAAGAAAAATAGATATCTTCAAAATGGTCTACAGTAGAAGGGTCTAGGACTAATTTTAAGCAAGATACGGTTCTAGAAAGTTTTCTACTTCTAACGATTTTTGTTATTTACGGCAAAATGCAAAAACTGCATATGAGACTATACTCTTTATCTTTAAAAATCATTTTACCATTTGCCGATAGGACACTCTGATCAACAGCTATTGAACTTTTACCGTCGAGTTAATACAAATTTTATTTAAAAAATGCACTTGTAACCCATTTAAATTCGCCGGTCACTTCAAGTGTTGTTTCTGAAAGAATGGTTCATTCTATTAAGAAAATCCTAATAAACATTTTTTTCGTTTCGATCTTTTCGTTTCCACCACCCTCTATGCGGGGCGGTTTTAGGGTCCGGGGGTAGAAGTAGAAAACTTTTTTCACTTTTTTTGGAATTTAAAAATTGACATTGTTAGTAAAGTTTAGCTTGTTCATATGTTGTTAGAGGTTCAGTGGCATTTTGGTATTTGACGACTGCGACTTAAGTATTTTCTTGTACATGTAGGTATATACAAATCGTTGCAAGCATCACAATTTGACAAACCATATCTTGGTTATCGTTAGTTCTAGACTATTTTACAATAGACCATTTTAAAGTACAAAACAAAATTTCTTTTTTTTGTTTAGTAATGCATATACCTAAATGTACAATAAAAATTTATAATGAGAAATTTAAAAAATAGCCGCTAAACTTAACAAGAATCGTTAAAAAATTGAAAACCTTCTTTGTTCTTCTCGTGCCACTCCTAGCGGAGTGTTAGCAGCGCGCCTAAAAAATTCAATCGAACTACACCCGAACCATTCACGTAGATTACGAAGCCACGATATATTTCTTCTTCCCACACTTCTTTTGTCCTTAATTTTGCCCTACATGATGTTTCTTAAAAGTTCGTACTTTTCACCTCTCAAAATGTGCCCCAAGAATTCCATCTTTCTAGTTTTTATCTCATTTAGAATTTCGCATCTTTTGTCTAAAGTTTGGAGTACTTGCGTGTTAGTGACGCGGTCCATCCATGATATTCTGAGAATGCGCCTATAGCACCACATCTCGAAAGCTTTGATGTTTTTGATGGTCAACTGTTTTAGTGTCCAAGCCTCAACTCCATATAACAGGGTAGAAAAGACATAACACCGCAGCATTTGTATTCGTATCTTTATATTGATATCACGATTGCAAAAGAGTTTGCGCATTCTATTAAAGACTGATCTAGCGATTTCTATTCTACATCTAATCTCTTTTGTTTGATCAGTATCGTCGGTGATCCAAGCACCTAGATATTTATAACAGGGCACACGCTCAATCGTTCTATTGTCAATTACAAGATTAGCTCTGATGTTCTTTCATTTCGTGATTACCATAAATTTAGTTTTTTTTCAAATTAATTTTCAAGCCGTAACTGAAAACCTTAAAGAACCGTAACTTACTGAAAATTAGTACTAGTACCTTCTAATATAAACCATTTTAAAGGTAATTATTTTTTCTTTTAACTAAATGTACCACTACGTATACCTAAAGGTACACAGAAAACAGTTACAAGATAGAAGAATTTAGGGATAAAAATAATGAAAACCTCGAAAAAATAAGAAAAAGGAAAAAAGATAAAACTTTTTTTATTACAGCAATGCCTCTATCTATACCCCCGAGGAAAAAATTTAGGGAGCAAAAACGAAAAATCGCGTGTGTTCCTGTTTTTTAAATATATTTATAAACACTTTTTTTGTCTTTAGTGGGTGACATTTTAATAAAAAATTTAATTTTGAACCACTTTTCTGTATATGAATATAAAAATTCTAGAGTTCTACACATAGATTTATACATATGAACACTGCATAAAATTCTTCCAGGTGCACCCTAGTACATAGGGACAGACTCAGTTTTTTGTGATTTGTTTTTGGGTTTATTTACTATTATAAAATGTCATTTTACTTTTCTTATGGGGGATTTCAATGCCAAGGTAGGAACTCAAATTGATGATGCAGAGACGGCAATAGGAAAACACGGTTTAGAAGGTCGAAATGAGAGAGGCCAGACACTATTAAATTTTCTTGATAACCATTAGTTATATTTGATGAATAGCTTTTTTTTAAAAGAAGCCACATAAACGATGGACATGGGTAAAACCAAATGAAAACGTAAAAAATGAAATAGATTTCTTCATAACAACACATAAAAGATTTGTCAAAGATGTCACAGTATTAAATCAGTTTGGCATTGGTAGCGATCATCGAGCAGTGAGAGCTACAATACAGTTAAACTTAAAAAATGAAAGAACAAGATTAATAAAGAGAAGAGAATGGAAAAAATGGAGTACACCAGAAACACAAAAACAGTACTGTGCTAGACCAGCCGGAAAAGAAGAGAAACTGAGCGAAAACAATAGAAAGCTCATTAAAGAAAGAAAAATCAAGAGATCAGAGCAGAAAGGCAACTCAGCTGAACTCAGAAATCTGAACAGAGATATCTCAAAAGCAATTCGTAAAGATCAGAGTAAGTATAATACTAAGAAAATACAAAATGTGATTGAGCAAAATAGAAATATGAAAATACTTAGAAGAAAGCTTTGTGATGGTAAAAAGGAAATTGTTAAACTAAAGACAAGGAAGGTAATATAACAACAAATAGAGAAAGAATAGTAGAAATAGCAAAAAGATTCTATAAAGAATTATACAAAAGCCAGTTAACAGAAGACGACAAAACACAAATTAGAGAACGCAGAGTAATGAACCAAGGATCCGAACTTCTGCCTACCATAACGATAAAAGAAGTGAAACGAACTCTAAAGGAAATGAAAAACAACAAGGCTCCGGGAGATGACCAAATAGTAATAGAAGCTGTTAAAGTAGGAGGCAAGAAACTGCTGGAAGTAGTAGCTGAACTATTCAACCTATGTCTAAACCAAGGTATTGTCCCTACAAAATGGAACAATGCAATTACTATCCTAATACACAAAAAAGGAAATAATATCAGACCTAGAGAATTATAGACCGATAAGTCTGTTGTCACATCTCTACAAATGGTTTTACCAAGATCATCACAAAACGTTTAGAACGAAAATTAGATTTCTATCAGTCTAAGGAGCAAGCTGGGTTTAGGAAAGGTTATGGAACAAATGACCACCTACAAGCACTTAAAATACTAATTGAAAAATGTGTTGAATATAATAAACCACTCACGTTGATTTTCATAGACTTCAAGAAAGCTTTTGATACCGTGGAATTACCGGCAGTATTAGGAGCATTACAACAAAGCCGAGTAGACTATAAATATACAAATTTGATAAAACATATATACAACAACGCAACAGCATCTGTTAAACTCCATGACTTTACCGATAAATATAGAATTGAGCGAGGAATTAGACAGGGCGACACCATCTCCCCCCAACTATTCACTGCAGCTCTGGAATATGCCTTTAAAAAACTAGATTGGGCTAAAAGGGGAATAAATATTGATGGTGAATACTTAAGCCACTTGCGCTTTGCAGATGATATTGTCATTATGGCCGAGAGTTTAAATGAAGCTCACAAAATGATGGAAGAACTAAAACAGGCAATAGAACAAATAGGCCTGAACATAAACTTTGAAAAAACAAAATACATGACCAATTTAGTTCCAAGTGATGTTATGAGGGTATATGGGAACGAAATAATCAGGTCTTTAGCTATATCTATTTAGGGCATGAAATTAGAATAGGAAAAGACAATCGAACTTGTGAGATCCAGCATCGCATAGGCTTGGGATGGGCAGCATTTGGCAAGATGCGAGATATTCTAAAAGGAACGCTACCGATTTGCTTGAAGAAAAAGGTTTACAACCAATGCATACTGCCAGTAATAATTTATGGTTCCGAAACAATAACTTTAACCAAACATTCTGCCAATAAATTGAGAGTCCCCCAAAGAAAAATGGAAAGAGCAATGTTGGGAATAGCTAGAAGAGATATGGTACCAAATAGGATAGTGAAAGAGAGGACTAAAGTGACAGATGTCATAGAAAAAATTGCACAAGCCAAATGGCGATGGGCTGGGCATATAGCACGTTTAAATGATAACAGGTGGACCAAAAGACTAATAGAATGGAGACCTAGAAAAGACAAAAGACACCGAGGCAGACCACCAAAAAGATGGATGGACGACTTAAGAAAGACAGTGGGAAATTGGATACAGAAGGCGCAAGATAGAGAACAGTGGAAGAACATGGAGGAGACCTATATCCAACAGTGGATGCAAGAGGTTGAGGAATGATGATGATGATGATGACTATATAAAATAATGAAACACCTTAAACGTTGTAGTTCTTTTTAGCCCTATTTTTTTTAAACATAATTATTAACGTAATGTTTTGTTTACACACATTCAATATATTTATATCATAAATATCTGCATAGTAACTGTCTGCACAGTCTATATAATCAACTTATAAATTTTCTAATAGACAAAATTATATTATTATTTCATTTAAATACAAAACTTCTCATTATATTTTAATAAGTTAACGAATAAAAGTAACCAAAACAAATATTTGGATTCGGTCTAACAAAATTATCTAATTTAAAATATGTTTCAGATATTGGGATGGCTTTATTAGCATTACTGCCTTTGTTCCCGATTTAGATGTTAGCCATGTAATAGAACAAATAAATCAATACTGCTACTGTCTTCCAGGAATGTCACGAGTGTCGCTGCATTTTGTATTTGATAGATTTGTAGCGCCATCTAGAAAAGATGTGTATTTTACGAAACCAAGTAATTGTGAATTAATAGATTCTTCAAAATTAAAAACTTACAGGTATTAACAATTAACTATGTCATATTTTTCATTCTTACTTGCAATATTCGGTTATATTTTAGAAATACATTACATAAATAAATTAATGGACAGGGTAGCTTAAACAGTAGAATGTTTAACTATCGCGTAAATTTAGGGTTGTCACTCCCGAAGGTACTTTTTAAAAAGGCCCTTTTAAAGGTACAACTAACAGAGTAATAGCTTTTTACCTAATATAATTACAAGTGACTTTGAAATAAAAATTTACAGTATTCATATGAAATTAATTGATGACGACCTGTTTGCAATATGTGTCGAAACTGCTGATCGGCTGGATTATTGAACTGCAATACCGCTGACAATTGGGGTTATTGTACAGTAATTTCTCCATCCCCTGTGCAAATTTTGTGAGGGATGAACAAAACTCTGTGTACGGTTTCTGAGGACTCTTGGCAGAAAAATTGCTACCAGGATATATAGCGGCGGTGTCCATATGTAGCTGTGGTCCATTTGTGTTGGGAGAATGGATTGGAACCAATTGTTGTTTTGGAATTCATGTAAACTTCATTATTGGTTCGTAGTTCACATCCTGGTGGTAACTTAATTAGATAGGTCCCTTCGAGTACTTCTATTTCGGTGGTGGTGCAACGGGTAGATACTTTCGTAGACTTTGGAAAAACCGCAATGTAATGTGCATCTGATACTTTTTGGATGATCGTTGTAGTGACGGTGACAGGAACACTTTGGCTTTGGGCAGCATCATTGATTAACTGGAGAATTCGGATGATGCAGTCATTAGTCTGGTCATTCTCTTGTGGAAATTTCTCAGGACAGATGAATGATTTGGATCCACTTCTTTTGCATGGTAGATCCATATATTGAAAAAGGTCTGAGTTGTGGACTAGGTATGGACCAGGTGGAATGATTATTGTGTGATTATTAGTTGGGAGTAAGTATAAATGGAAGTATGTGAACGACTTGGAATGAAGGATAGGAAAATGTAAAATGAAAACAAGGGTGTGGTTCGTGTAATAACCATCAATGTCTATGATTTCATAGTATTTGGTTAAGTCTTCTTCTTGAATATAGGGAATCTGTGATGCAGGGTGGTGTTCAAGCATCTTTTGCACGTCCATTTTATTTCTTCAGGTTTGATGAGACCGTTGTGTAAAGTTTTGATTCTTGCAAATGTAATTGTTGTTTGTAGATCATTCAGTATTTGTATAATTGTTTGTAAATTTAGATTTATCTGGTCAAGAATGTTTCGAACTTGCATATAAATGCAATCATTGAAATCGAAAACGAATTGGTTCATCTCTAAGCTAATTTTGTTTGTCTCTTCAGCTATGATTTCTTGGTTGTGTGTAAGTAGTGAAATTGTTTAGATAAAATTTGTCATTATTCTTTTATTGAGACTTAGTTGGCTATTGATGTTGGTAATAATATTTTTTTGGTTATTTTCAAGTGATTTAATGGAGGCGTTGTATCTTTCAGCATCTTTTTGATCTAAATTACCAGAAATAGATTTTATTACACTTCCCAATCCGTTTATAAGTCTTCTTTTGCTTCTGGGTATTGGATATATTGTGTCTAGTTTTTCTTTTGCTGTTTGGAGAAGGTACTGTACAGTTTTATCAAAGTTTTGTAGGCTGTCAAAATATAGTTGACTAAGTCCATTTTCTATTGCTCTGTTGGTAGTAATATATTGAGATTCTATGGATTCAATCTCTTCTGCGATAGGATCTAGATGGAAATAGTGGATGAAGTCATGAGTGCTAGTCTGTATCCTCGCATGTCCAAGTTTAACTGGGAGGATTCCTGGATCGTCCTTTAGGTTTTGAATTTGAACTTGTTGGGCTGCTACTAAGTTACATCTTTAAAGTAGTTTTAGCTTTAGTCTTTGGCTGGTGTTTGATGTTCTTTTTGTGTATCGACGTATCTTGAGTGTCTATTGTTACGGGATTGATATTTTTCACAATGTGGGAAGAAAATCTCGAAAGAAGTTTGTTTCTTTTTACTATTTTTCAAGTGTAAACTTTTGTGCTGGGTTTATAAGTTATTGGTGTTTGTCTTTTTTCATTTGTTTCTTTTTATTTATTTTTAGCTTTTTATTTATTTCACTGTAGATTTCTTTTATCTTTAATCTGAGGCTTTATGTAAAGTTATTTATTAGGGTTCTGTTAGTATCGATGTCAAATGGGTCTTGAGGATCGATATTACCATTGAGAATTTCGATTGGCTTTTTTTTTAGTTGATGGATGAATGGAATTGTTGTATCCTAAAATAACATATTATAATATGTTCTTTTCTCTAAGTATTCGTAGGTGTTCCAAAATTGTAGAGTGAAAACGTTCTATCATTCCGTTCGATTGTGGATTATCTGGAGTTGTGTAGTGAATCGAAATTTTGTGTGTATCGACAAATTCCTGAACAAGGCAGTTCTTGAATTCGGTTCCGCTATCTGCGATTATCATGTGTGGCTGTCTGCGTAGTGGGTTATAAAGAGTATGAAGGCATTAAGGACATTTACTGCGTTGGATCCTTCTATAGGATATGCTTGGCCATATTTCGAAAATGCATCAATGATTGTAAAGAATTTTTGTCCGTTAGCTTGGAATGTGTCCATATGAATGGTTTTCTTGGAGTTAGTGTTACCATAAATTTCGGCTTAATTGGATTTCTGTCATACTTGTTAGCTTGGCACGTATCACAAAGGTTGATAACTTCTTTGATGTCTTTCTTTAGCGTAGGCCAGTAGTAGCGTTTTCTTATTTGAGCTTCGGTTTCGTTAATTCCTCTGTGGTTAGTCTTCCCTTGATGGTAGTTCTCTATAATTTCTTTTTGTCTCTCTGTGCTGTTTATATCTTCTAGGAGGATGTTGCATTTGACAAGATCGAAAGCGGAATTTTTAAAAGTATCTCGCAGAATATTGCATAGGGATTTGTAGAGTTCATCATTCTCGAACAGAATGGAGTATTTCTTTTTCGGACCTATATAGTTATTGAAAAACTGGAAAATGTCGTTGTAAAGATCATTTTTTCCCAATGGGACATACATTCTCTTCTTTGTTACAAAACGTTGATCTGTGATTGGTTTCGCCGGGTTTTAATTTACTATCTTGAAAATTATTTGATTATTGTAATAATTTAGTGGTTTCTTGCTAATTGGAATTGCCATTATTGGATTTTCTGCCGTAAAATAATTGGTTACATCTGTATGGTTATCTTCTTGTAAGTATTGGAAGTTTGATGACTGAGGTTTAGATTTTTGCTGTTGACTGTCTTTATGTAGGATTTTGTCTATTATCTTCATTTCTTCGGGAGTTAACGTTGGAGATTGATTTTTCTGGATGATTTTATCTAAGTTGCCTAAAGGGGTTGACGGATTCAAAATTTTTTGAGACTCTTCGGCTCGGTCGGTTAGAAATTCTTCTATATCGAATAAGGAACTGGGGTAATTAATCATAGAGATATTATCGTCATCTTCTTTTGAGAGAAGTTTTATTATTTCTTCCATGTTCTCATCTCCACTGTTTATTTATTTCGTGTGAATTTCGACACGGGATAAAGCATCTGCATTGGTGTTGGATTTGCCTTTTTTATATATTCCTTCGTAGTCAAATTCCTCCAGCATTAATCTCCATCTGACAAGTTTTTGAGTTTGGATCTTTAAGTGCAAATAGCCATTGTAGAGGTCGATGGTCAGATAAAATTTTAAATTTTCGTCCGAAAAGGTATGGGCGGAAGTATTTAGTAGCTACACAATAGCTAAAATCTCCTTTTCGATAGTCGAATATTTTAGTTCAGTTTGATTTTAAGTTCTGGATGCATAGGCGATGGGTTTATCATTTCCCATTGGACCTTGTGATAGGATGGCTCCTATAGCGAAGTTGCTTGCATCAGTCATAAGGTTGAAGGGTTTAGTGAAGTCTGGATATTGCAGAAGTTGTTTAATAATAAGCTTTTACAGGTTTTGATAAAGTTTAAGAATTCTTCGGTGTGTTCAATTTTTGCATCCTTTTTAAGACATATGGTAAGTGGTTTAGTAATTTTGGCAAAGTCTTTTATACATTTTCTATAGTAACCCAGTAATTCTAAAAATCATCCAATTTATTTCGCTCTTTTTGGTATAGGATAGTCTATGATGGCTCTGGTCTTAGTAGGGTTTGGTTTAAATCACTCGCAGGTGACGACGTGGCCTAGAAAATCGACTTCTTTCTTATTGAATTCACATTTGTCAACTTGTATCTTAAATCTTGTTTCTCTTAATCTTTCAAAAATCTTCTTAAGATTACCATGTGTTCTTAAAGAGAAGTTGAAAATATAATAATGTCGTCCATATAGACAAGCCATATTTCTCTTATAAGTCCTTTTAGTACGTTCTCCATTACTCCCTGGAATGTTGAGGGTGCATTTTTGTGTCCGAGTGGTATTCTCAGGTATTCATAGTGGCCATTTTAAACGTTAAATGCAGTCTTCCGGATATCTTCTTTGGCCATTTCAATTTGATGGAATCCGCTGGCTAGATCTAGGGTTAAAAAGTATTGGCAGTATCCTAGTTTGTCCAGAATGTATGTTATATTTGGAATTGGATATCGGTCATCCATGGTTTTCTCGTTCACCTTTCTGTAGTCGATAACTAATCGCCATTTAATTTTTCCTGAGGCGTCTGGTTTCTTTGGAACGACCCAGATTGGGGTTGACCAGGGTGATTGACTCGGTCTAATGATTCCTTGATCGAGCATCGAAGTGATTTGCTTACATACTTCTTCTTTATGGATGTGTGGATACCGATATGACTTTGTAGAAACTGGAACTTCGTCTTTGGTTCGTATATGGTGTTTTATTTGGTTAGTAAATGTTAAAGGATTATCTGGGTGATGAAATATATCTACAAACTTCCTGCATTGTCGTCTTAGGTGAGATTCTTCTTTTGTATTAAGGTCATCGGTTCTAAGGAGAGGATCGACATCTTTTAGATTACTGTCTTCGGTAAGTATGATATCTGACGTGTATATATGATATTCTTCGAGATTTATTGCTTGACTTTTAATGGGATCAGTTAATGCTACTTGGATGTATTCATCGCTGTTATTGACTAGCTTGGTCTAGGCAAGTTGATTACAGGCAAGAGTTTCTCTTAGGATGGCACCTTCGATTTCTTGTCTTGAGATGACGATTGTACCGGATGCTTCCTTTACTGGCAATCTGACTTGGGTAATTGTTTGGGGCTCTAGCTGGACTGTATAGAATTGGGCTTTGTTTGTGATATAGTAATTAATATGCAGAATAGAATGCTCTGTCTCTTTAGAATAGGGTCCTCTTGTTTTGAATATTTTCAGTTTTTACTAGTTTTTACTACCAGAAAAAAATCTGTAATTCGCTTTATCGAGGGGATACATGCTCCATCTTTAAGGCCTGAAAGTTTGTACTTTAGCTACAGTATGGCATGTTTCGTCATATTCTGGTGCTCTACTCAGATGGCGGTAGATCGAAGACTACCTTAACAAAGGTAGGCATCCTCATTTATATTTTTCATTTTGGAGTGGAGACGAATACGTGGGAGTCAGCTACTTTAGAAGATAGAAATGCCAGCCGCTAAAATTCCAATTCTTCATCCTGTTCCATAATTTTTTTCAATAGAGTTAATAAATACAGTAAGATTTACCAGTTTATTAATTTTATATTATTTATTTTTAGGCATGCCGACGACAGTGTTATGTATCCCATTAATGTTTGCCGCAATGCAGCGAGAACAGCATCATTAACAGAACTAGTTATGGTTTCAGATATTCAGCTTATGCCCAGTGAAGGTAAGGTATATGCATTTTTAGACACCATAAAATTATTATATAGGTTTAAGAGAAATATGGGCTATTCCACATCTCAAAAAATAGTATTTAATTGTTGAAGAATTGGATTAAATAATTTGGTAAAAGTTAAAGTTATTTCTAAACAAATTGCTGAAAAGTTCTTTGACGCGTTGTAAAAAACGAGTTTGTTATTTAAAGTTATGCCATTCTAAAAATTTAATACTGTCTTTATCCTCGATAATAATACAGTGTTTATCAATTTCTACTTCAGTCATTTTTTTTAATATTTTTTTATAACTAGTAAAATAAAAGTAATAATAATAATTCTTACAGGCCAATCAGTGGCACATAATAGACCGGATCTCATACTAGTAAATAAACTTACCAGGCAGACAACATTAATAGATGTGGCGATACCAACAATAATAATCCGCGTTTTAAATACAACGAAAAAATCGTTAAGTATAGATCTGGAAATACAAATGGAAATACCCGTTATTCTCTCTACTCCTGGAGTTATTCCGAAGGGTCCCCTAGAGTTCATAAAATAGCTGGGTCTTAATGAACATCTATCTGAGATCTTGCAGAAAGCAGTACTGCTCTTATCTGGATACGTAAGAAATTTTTTTAGGAGATACTCCGACCTACCAAGTCACCTAGGTCTCAATAATATGGAAAGACTACCAGATCTCAATCCTTTAGATTCCATAGATATCTTGGATAAGTTAATTTTTCCCTTAGAATGTCCACATTCCCTAGGAATGTGGGCCCTATGGCTAAATGTGAATTTTTATGAGTTATACAATCATCTATAGTCCAACAACAAGAATAACCGCAAGAGAGCCAACCAATACCAAGAGCTCCACTCGCTAAAGGTGCTGCGCTAGAATATCAACCGGCGCTTACTTAAGTGGGACGACCGAGGCAGCGCATGAAATAGACTGTGCCCACAAATGAAAATATTTTGCGCTTGTAATACCAGGTGACAATTATCGGCTAAGAAACGATGGACTATCGACAAAGGTTCTATGCATAATTTTGCAGGGATTATACAGAAATTCAAGTGTCTGAACAACAAGTTGCAGAATTATACAGGGTAATTATAAAAAACAATTCCAAAGACTAGATGCAGTATCGTCGGAAGCAAAGTCGAACGGAAGATTAATAGCCGAAAGGTACTTTTCTTTAGTACTTAGGATCAAGTTCCTAATAAAATACATGAGCAGATTCCTGAGCTTGTCATACAAGAAAATTAATCTGGTAATATACAACAGGACAACATTGAGTTACACAATATTCTGGTAAGCGAAATTACCTGTACTGTATAGAAGTTTAATGGAATAAACCCACTTAGCAGCAGATCACCGCTACCAAAAATAAACTCTTACGTCTACCCACTTACGTCGCAGAAGACCATATGCTCGGTAATGGGAATTAAGATTAGAATCCAACGTGGTACCAATGTTGAAATGGCAGATAACAGAGTTGAACCCTAGGAAAAACGACTTCTAAATAAGATTAAATTATTGCGTAGGGATATTAGTCAAAAGACCGAATATATACATGGAATAACAAGTAAAAAAGTAATCAGAAGAGCTGAAGAAATAATGCTGAGTACTGCAAGACACTAGCAGTATAAATAAGAAAGCAGCACAGTCCAACAGTGGCTGGATACATTAAAAGAAATACTCTCCATTTATTCGGGACGAATAAGGAAGTGCAAAGTTAATAACAGCCCGGAATGTGACCCGAGAGGCGTTTTTTGTATAGTTTAAAAGTTATTAAAAGTTTTAAATTGATAATTTAAAGATTTAGCTTAATTTTAAGTCCTTATAACTTTTTACATGGTCTGTATTTCTTTAAAAGCAGCACATAAATAAAAAGTTTAAACCTATTTTAACAGTTTACTATTAAAATAATTAGAAAAAACTTTCTTTTTAATGAAGTTAGCAATCACTAAACAAATAATTTTTCGCACTTGCAAAATCAACAAATACGGCGGGCTAGTATGTGTTGATATTATACGTGCTAAATAGTAGATATTTTAAAATTTTAAAAACCTCTCAGAGCACGCATTAGTGTCGACAACGTACACTAGCGCGCCGTATGCATTAAATTCTGCAAGGGCGAAAAGCTATTTGTTTATTGTTTTTTTATTGTTTGTAAACTAAACAAAAAATAAAGTATTTCCATTTTTGTCAGGAATAAATTTTCAAAATAGGTTTAAACTTTCTATCTGTGTGCAGCTTTTAGAATAATATGTACAATGTATTAGGTTATGAGGACTAAAAGTTGGGCTAAATCCTCGATTTCTAGACTTGCAATTTTTAATACTTAAAACATTGTTTTTAAAAATTGGTACCACTTTTTGAGATGGTGGAACTATTCACCCTTCCATGTATACAGAAAGGTACCCTGCTGCCGGACTATACGTTTTCCTAAATGGTTTATGGATCTAATATTCTGGACTGTCGAAATTTGGAAACGATTAATACTTACAGTAAACCCTTGGCTAGTGCCCCGATGAATTAAAAAGCCAAATACACGGCGGTGAAGCACAAATTAGTAAAACCTTCCACATTCGAACCAGTATCAATAGAATGTTATAACGGTTATTTCAGCATCAATGACTAGTTAAACTCGGGCTGACACAAATACTAACTCAGAAGGTCCATCTAATGTGTTTAAAATATTGCCCAATTTAGTGCACATCTTTTGCACATTTCGATAGCGCAGAGTTTTATGGCCGTCAAAGTAGATGGCACCTTTGTACGCTAACCACTGAAGTGGGGGATATTCTGAAGAAAGTAATTGAACCTTCCATGTTCGGATTTGTATCAACTGTATTTCTGTCATTTATTGATATTATGGCCTTTGCTACTATGAAAGTCCACTGAGAAAGTTTGTTTCTTTTCAAGTCAAAGCAAAGGAGTTAGGTCCAACGGAGTCAGAAGCAATCGACCATTATCTAAAAACTAGCATAATATTATTACTGGTTTCCTAAAAATTTGGCTTAGAGAAGAATATGTTTAAAAAGATATGAAAATTTCACTAAAATAAATAAAGAACTTCATAGATAAAGGAAATAAGTATGTAGTTTAATTTAACAGTTTCATTTAGATATTAAATAATTATAAACTTACTTGCAAGAAGAAAGAGTAAAGGTACGATTCTAAACACGACCGCAAACTGCAAACTGCAAACTGCAAACCGCAGACCGCAGACCGCAGCGACAGACCTACTGGTTCATATGGTTTCTTATGAGCTATGTATGTCGAGTAGAGCGGCACTGTCGCCACCGCACACAGGACGTCGCCACCGCAAACCGCAGGACGTCGCCACCGCAAACCGCAGGACTGGACCAGAACCAGTAGTGTCGCCGACCGCAGAGTAACAACACGTCTTTTTGCTGTTTCTGAATATATCTTCGTTAGCCATTAGATGATGGGGCCGTAGCTTAAACCAAGATTTTTGAGGTTAAAATAGGTCGATTTAAACTAACTTACCTTAGTACGAAAGTTGATAATAACTGAAATATACGGTATCAAAATTAAACTTCTATTTTATTTATTTTTTATTAGTTTCTGACAGGCATGGGATAACAATACAAAATTTGGTAAGTGGGAGTTTTTTGGTACGAGAAATATAAATTACCCACCAAAAATTATGTTATATTTAGAGGGCGCTATATACGTCTTTCAATTTCATTTGAGATCAAAACTTTTATTCCCTCATTGTTTTTAGTTACATAAGGTATAATACAGTCAAACAATTTTCGAGATAAAACACATTTTAAATCTACAATGCAAAATTTATTTTTTGTGCATTTCGTTGTAGTTACATTCAAAAAATCAACTTGTAACAATAATTGTTGTGCAAGTTGTTATGGTTATGTCAATGCAGCTGACATTTTTAACGGTTTGAGAGGTTTTTAAGACCAACTTCGCATTCGAAGTTGTGCTTTTGTGTTGCATGAAATTTAAATTGTAAAATGCCACGTCGTAACTTGCTTTCAAATGGTAAACTGACCGATAAGGTGATAGTTTATGCCCAACAAAATTTGCATAAACGTGATGCTGCTAGATATTATGCATATCCCAATTGACGGCAATTCGATAGAAAATTATTTTACAGATTATTTCAGGTTACTAGAATCGGGTAGTTTTCTACCCTACGAATAAAAGGCTAGACCAAGAGTATGGACTCTTCAACGCGAAAAAATAGATTTTAAACGATGTAAAAAAAAATCAGGAATTGGCGTCCATCGATTAGCTGGAAATCTTGGGCTTCGGTCATTTACTAGGTTAACTATTTTCAAAAACAGCAACTCCATGAATTTCATTATACCACATCTTAGAATCTGCTAACACGAGATTTTTTGCCGGCAATAAATTTTTACAAAACTATTTTTTATAATCAAAGATAGGCTCCAGATTCTATTTAAAAAATTGTTTTTGCGAATGAAGCCACATTAACTAGAAGAGGTGTATTAAATCGAAAAAATCATATTTCTGGATATAACCAGAATTTAACGAATTTAAAATTAATGTTTGGTTTTGAAAAGTTTGTGATAATTGTGTTGGCTCTTTTCAATTTCCAGAGAGAGAGAGTGTCATCGAAACGATTTGCAACAACTCTTAGAAGATGTTTCTATACACATCAAATTAAATATGTGGTTTTTACATGACGATGCTTTATCTAATTATCCCCGTAAAGACCAAAATTAGTTAAATACTTTTTTTCTCACCGAAGTATTCTTCGAGGCAGTGAACATCCGTGGCCTCTATAAAGCTGCCATTTCAATCCCTTAGACTTTTCTTTTGGGATATATGATTTAAAACATCTTGTTTATTGAGAACCAGTGATCAATACATAAGATGAGCTTTGGTAAAGGATAGTGGATACAACTAAACAGAATACAAGATTCTGAATATTTTTTTCGTAAGAAACAATGTATGGAATTAAATGGAGCACATTTTAAACATTTGATTTAGCGGGTTTCGAAAACATAACGTAAGTTTTAACGTTATTTTATTATTTTTATTGTTTATGCATTATTATCTTAATATTGTAATTAAGATATCATTTTAGAATGTGATAGTTTTTTATTTCTTTCATAACTAGATCTCGAACTAAACTCCTTATCTCGAAAATTTTGAGAACGGAGAAAACGGTGGAATTTAGCGAGATGAATGTAGTATATCTTCATAAGAGAAAAAAAATTTTTGATTCAAGAAGTTTGTGGAGTGCCGGAAAAAATTAAATGTACTAAATAAGCGCTGCAAGACGTATGTGGCGCCCTCTTGGTAATATAATCCATAACTTTCTGTGGGGAATTTAGGTTTAACCTACTTTTAGTTTAACCCTCACTTACCAAATTTCGTGTTGTTATTCCATGCCTGTCAGAAAATATTCAAAACTAAATTAAATAAAAGTTTAAAACATATAATTCTCAGCTTCTTACATATTTGTAATACTTACAAATAAAACTTAGTCTTATTATTTAATATCTGCTGTGATTTTGTTATATTACAGGCAATTATTGACTTAACACATAATGTTATAATGTTATACTTTCTGTGATAATGTTATACACATTAAACATTAAAATATCGAAAACAACTATAATCACGTTAATTGTCTGTCAAATTTACGTCGAACGTTGTAGCTAGAAACGTGACGTCAGTTCCGTCATTAATTAGTTACATTTAAATCATGAATGTGTTGCTTGTGTGAGTCCATTTCAAATAGGTAAAGAAATAATAAATAAGACTTACTCACAATCAATTTATTTTAACTATCTGATGACCGGTTTCGCTTTCTACAATATGCAAAGCATCCTCAGGTCTCGATACAAAGTTAAACAAATGCTGAAATAATAAAAACTCGTATTAGGGTGTTGTCCAATAACGATAAACAAAGTAGATGTTGTAAATTACAATAATTATGCCAATATTACATATCTGTGGTTTTATTTAAATGAGTAAGTTGAATAAAAGGTATAAAAATTTTTAAAAGTTTAAACAGACAAGGTAAGGTCCACAAATTGTTATAAAATAGTCTCTTCGATTGTAATAAATTAACAAATGAGCAAATAAATAAATAAAATAAACATTACTTACATGCCGGTACTCTATTAATTGGTGGATGGTAGAACATGGTTGAAACTACTATATATTGTTGAATGGAGAACTCAATTCTATTATTGCAGTTGTTTGACAGTAAACGGGAAGTTGTTGAGGAGATAGATTTGATCCAATGAAGAAGAGATATGTGTGTGATTGTTTGTTAAATGAAAGTAATGTAATATATCATTGTGTTATTAAAAGCTATTTATACTTATTCGATAGATATATTTTTGAAATGTGTGTTATTTATTAAGTAATTGTTTTAAGAAGGTGACAGTTTTATGACAATGAATATGTTTAGATGTAAAATTGTGTGGGGGTGCAATTATTTTCAAACCTGTAGTTATCAAATTTCTGTAACTACAGAATTCTGTAATTACTCAATAAATAACACACATTTCAAAAATATATCTCTCGAATAAGTATAAATAACTTTTAATAACACACTGATATATTACATTACTTTCATTTAACAAACAATCATACACATATCTCTTCTTCATTGGATCAAATCTATCTCCTCAAGAACTTCCCGTTTACTGTCAAACAGCTGCAGTAATAGAATTGAGTTCTCCATTCAACAATACATAGTAGTTTCAACCATGTTCTACCATCCATCAATTAATAGAGTACCGGTATGTAAGTAATGTTTATTTTATTTATTTATTTGCTCATTTGTTAATTTATTACAATCGAAGAGACTATTTTATAACAATTTGTGGGCCTTACTTTGTCTGTTTAAACTTTTAAAATTTTTTATACCTTTTATTCAACTTCCTCATTTAAATAAAACCACAGAAATGTAATATTGGCATAATTATTGTAATTTACAACATCTACTTTGTTTATCGTTATTGGACAACACCCTAATACGGGTTTTTAATATTTCAGCATTTCTTTAACTTTGTATCGAGACCTGATGATGCTTTGCATATTGTAGAAAGCGAAACCGGTCGTCAGATAGTTAAATTAAATTGATTGTGAGTAAGTCTTATTTATTATTTCTTTACCTAGTTACATTTAAATTTATTCATAGGTTCCATCCTGGGTACATTACAACACTGAGTCGTTATGTAATATTGTTCAATATATTATTATGTTTAGAGTGAAAAAGTAGACTTATCTTATTTTGTAATATTCTGCCAATGGTTACAAATTATTCCTAAGAAAAAAAGTTAACTACACAGTACTGATCACAATATTGTTACCTAAATTTGTAGAATAACCTTAACTGAAATTCTCTAACCACATTAAACTTCATTCTAATAATTTCTAGGACTTGCTTATAAGTTTTTGGAGATGTTGGATCGTTACAAGTTACACGATTGCGAACGTAGAGTATACGTTCTTCCAATATTTGAGGTTGAAGCGGCAGAAAATGTACCGAGAACAAAGAGTCAACTCGTTGAAATGGTTAAAGAGAAGAAATCAGTTTATTTTCATAAATTAGTATGTCGTCATTGTCAAAAGTTTCCGGGAATAGAATCTTGGATGAGGACGGATCCAAAGGATAGTGTTAAAGTAAGTTTCATTTTTTTACGTCACTTCAATTAAGTTAATACATACACAAACTCTTTTTTATTAGCACTGACAGATAAATCTAACTTTAGCTGGTAAAGACCAAAGAATATTTAAACAGTATGAGCAACCTTTTGTCTACACGGATGATCAAAAGATTATCACCGGTAAAAAATGACAATTTCGAAAAAATTAAGTTATTTTAAGAAACAAAATATTGTATTTTTAATTTTAATGTTAGTGTTGTATCGATAAACTATTAATAAACATTAGTAAAACACATTTTATATTAAAACTAAACAACAAAAGAAATCAATCTGAACTTATAACTAAAGAGATTTAAAAATATATACTAATTTACATCGGCCACGTTTCTTGTAATTTTCAGTGGCTCTGCATCTTCAGAATCTTTTGAAAATTTTATTAGTACCTTATCTATGGCTGTTGGTATGTGTTTATATAAACTCTTATGCTGTCGGGATTGTATGAAGGGTGTAACAGTCTCAAGGGTCAAATCGTGAAGAAAGAGCCTTCCAAGAGTTTTTTTTCGTTGTTTTGTATTTTTCTATGTACAGGGCAAATTCATTTATATCACCACTTTGTACTACGATTGCATGACTATTCCTTGACCATTTTATCCAAACTATCTACTGCACCTCTACTGCATTTCTTCATCAGACACATTAAGATCAGAATGTTGCGAGCTGAGCCGCAGAACGCTCCTATTTTTCTCATACGTAGGGAACTAAAATGGCATTTTTTCTATACAAAATGTCGCTATAATGTTTTGCTTTGTTTTTTTGGGGATAAATGTTGTTTGGGCACCTTTTTACGATTTTTTGTCCCTGTGATTTATACTGTTGTAAAAGTTTCTTTGATAACAGTATCCAGACGAAAAAGTTGTCCGTAGTTACACCATAGCCAGATCCTACTCCATTTACTAAATCCAAAACGACACGCTTACCTATAAAATAATAAAAATCATTTAGCTCCCTTTATATGGTATTGTCATCTATAATTTAATATTACCTTGCCCTTTTTTTTGCAGGCAAGTATGTAATTTGTCATTTCTGTGTAGACTTGTACTTTCCAGTAATATGTATTAGTCGAATTACACAATACCCAAATTGTTATGCCATATTTATCTGGCATAGATTTAATGTAGTCGATGAAGGGATATCTTTTACAAAAAGACACAGGATATCCGTCAATACAAACATCAGGAATGAGAGTGTAGACCATTTTACAGTTTAAGGCAAAAATGACATGCATCTCTCGTATTTCAACTAACTTATTCAAAGTGCGTTTTTGCAAAGACTTTATTTTGTTGCGAGACATTGTTGCATGGAAAACAGACCTATAGAACGCTAGATTTTTTATACTCCACAGCTCCAAAATTGGTTGGTGATTCTTGTCTCGAAGCATACGGTATTAAACAATAACCCAATATAGGCATACAGATTTTCTTTACTGTATAATTATATTATAACTTTAGGAATAATCAAAACGATCGAAAATCTCTTCCAAAACAACAAAATAAAAGTAAAAGTAGAAGAAGAACTAATCGACCATAGTGAAACTGGCAAAGGGATAAGACAGCGAGATTCCCTGAGTACTCTATTGTTCAACCTGATTATGGATGAAATAATAAACAAGTAAGAACTAAAAAAGGATACCAAATGGGAGAAAAACAACTCAAAATAATCTTCTATGCAGATGACGCAATACAACTCTCTCAAAGTAAATTATGATTTACAACGTATGCTGCATCAATTTAATATAACCGCCAGAAAATTTAACATGTTAATTTCCCCAAAAAAGACCAAATGCATGGTTACAACAGCAAATTTACTAAGATGTAAATTGGAACTGGAAGGTCAGATAATAAAACAAGTGATGGAGTTTAAACATCTAGGCATCACATTATCTAGCTACAGAAAGCTCGAAACCAAAGTGGAAGATCAAGTGAATAGAGCAAACAGAGCCGCAAGCTACCTAAATGAAACAATATGGAGAAATAAAAATATCGGGACAGAAACGAAAGGCAGAATTTACAAAATAGTCATCAGACCAATAATGACATACGCCGCAGAAACAAGACCTGACACAAAGAGGACAAAAAGGATGTTAGAAACAGTAGACATGAAAACAGCAATAGAAAAATTGATGGTAAGACACTATGGGACAGAGCTAGAAGTACAGATATACGACATAGATGCAAGGTGGAGAACATCAAAAGCTGGGTAAGAAATAGAATAGTAGAAAGAAATGATCATATAAGCCACATGACAACAAATAGAGTAGTAAAGACGGCAAGAGACGGTTCCCCAATACAAAGACGATCAGTAGGAAGACCACGAGAACGATGGAATGAAAACTTATTGGAGGCACATTAAAATACAGACAGAGTCATGTCTATATAAAAGAAGAAGAAGAAAAAGAAGAAGGTCTTCTTTACTTATGGAATTCCAGCTATCGCCTAAAATTAATTGTGCGCGAATATTAGTTTTACAAATGATGATATCTATAATTTTATCGAAAAAAAATTTGAAAGCTTTTGTTTTTGTGGTGAAATTTAAGGTGTACTTAGTTATAACAGGCCTTTTAACAAGGATGTTCTGTACTAAACGTTTCAGGTCTTCTTCTTCTTCTTAGTCGTTAACCTGATGCAGGTATCGTGATATCATAAAGCTGTTAGGTAATTTTTCCAATGTTCCTCCACGTTTTTCTATCTTCTGCCAATCTAGCACATTCTGACAATGGACCGCCAATGGTAGCAACAATATGGTCCGTGTATCGTGTAGGAGATCTACCTCTACTTCTTTTGCCTTCTACTTTTCCCTGGATGGTAAGTTTTTCAAGACCATTTCTTCGAAGCACATGTCCAAAATAGCTTATTATCTGTTCTGTTATTTGTGTTCTTAGTCTTTTCTTTATGTTTAGCTGGACCAGTATGGATTCATTTGTTCTTCGGGCCACCCATGGTATTCTCAGCATTCGTTTCCAGCAGTACATCTCAAATACATCTATGTTCTTTTTGTCTTTCTCAGTAAGGGTCCAGCATTCCGATGCATAAGTAAAAACTGGAAAAACTAGACTTCTTACTAGTCTCATTTTTGTATCGGTATTAATTTCATGGCTTTTCCAAATTTTTGTTAATTTTGCCATAGCGCTTTTTGCGATTGCTGACCACCGCCGCTTTATTTCTTCAGTACAGCCTCCTTTGTTGGTTATTAATGAGCCCAGATACACAAATTTATCTACAACAGCGATATTGTTTATCCTAACCAGATGATTTTGATTGTTGTTAGCTCTGTCAATTATCATGATTCTCGTTTTATCCCTGTTTATTTTAAGGCCCATCGTTAAGCTTACGTCTTCTATCCGTTGTAGCAGGTGAATCAATTCAGTTTCAGAACTAGCGAGGATAGTAGTATCATCTGCATATCTCAAGTTGCAAATCTTCTTCCCGCCAATGGTGATGCCACCGTTCCAGTCCTCAGTAGCTTTCCGCATTATCCATTCACCATAGATATTAAATAAATTGGGCTTAGTATGCAGCCTTGTCTCACGCCCTTTGTGACCCTGAAACTGTCAGTTAGTTTCCCATTTATTCTAACTCTGGCATAATTGTTATTGTACAGGCTTTTAATTAGCAGTATCAGATGATTAGGGACTCCCATTTCAGACAAAACCTGCCACATTTTACTCCAGTTGACCAAATCGAAAGCTTTACTATAATCTATGAAGCACAAATAATATGTTGTGATGTTGAATTCTCTGGATTTTTCTACAATCTGCCGTACGTTTAAAATTTGTTCTCTAGTACCACGTCCTGGGACGAAACCTGCTTGTTCCTCCGCAATGTTAGGTAGTAAAAAGGGCTTTATCCTCTCGAGAATTATGTGTAAGAGTATCTTACTGCAATGCGCAATTAGAGCAATTGTGCGATAGTTGCTACATAAATCTTTCGCTCCCTTTTTATGTATGGGAATATATAGTGATTGTGTCCAGTCCTCAGGCCATTTACCTGTCTCCCACACTCTTTGACAAATTTGATGTATTATATCCACTCCAACGTCATCTAGGGCCCAAATCATTTCAATAGGTATGTTATCTGCACCGGCAGCTTTTTGACTTTTTTGCCTCATAATTGCTGCTTCAACTTCACTTTTGAGTACGTCAGGTTCCGTCGCAAAACTGGCATCTTCTTGTTGTGATGGGGCGTCTGTGCTTTCCTCCATCATCAGTCGTCCACAGTATTCTTTCCATCTGTGTAAAATATCTTTTTTAGAAGTGAGTAGAGTTCCGTTATCATCTTTGATAGCAGGGTAGTTTGGTGTAAAGGAACGTGTTATCTGCTTTATTTTTTTAAACATGTCTCTGGTCTCAGTTTTGGTTTTATGCCCTACTATTTCCATGCAGATTTTGTTCAAGTGTGTGTTCTTGTCCTTTTTGCAGAGTCGTTTTATTTGACCTTTCAGCGCTTTATAGGCCTCTTTATCACTTTCACTGTTCAGTCCTGTGGCTTTTAAGCACTTCCTCTCCTGTATTTTAGTCCACGTGGAGTCCGTTATCCATAGTACCAGGTATCCTAAGTTAATTTGCCATTGTCAACTGTATTAATCTTATACCATCATATACCATATAAACGGCGGAAGATACTAGACTTCTAATCCAGAGCGCATAAGCTCGTATCTCAATAACAACTACATTTTTATTACTCGTATTTCTACAAAGTATAGTTTACCGTGCTTCAAAGGGTACGTAAAGACGTCGCCCCACCTGGGCGAGTGCTTGCATTGACACTAGCGATTTAAAAAATGATCAAAGATGGAATTGATGCCGGAAGCTTCCTGAAAGGATCACTTTGGCAAAAATATTATACGATATTATTATTATTACAATTTTACACCATTGTTGCTGGTAATATTACATAAACTAGCTTTATAAAGGCTTCTTATAGATGAATTTATGAGGAATTGATCGGTTACTATGAATATAATATTGTGAAATTTGCATTTTACGTATTTCATCAAAGCCTTGGACCAGTCTCTGTTCATTCCGGGAATATTAGCAAGGCATTTCTTCGAGGCTTGTAAAGTTAGGGTTATACCGCTCACACTCGGCCATCATAGCTTCGTTTTTTATTTAACAGGGACTACCACATATGGGTGAGGTGGTTATTAAAGTAAAAGAAGCTATTTTTGAGACGTTTTCGACCTTATTAACTCGTCATTTTACTTTCGGTTATACCTATACTATAAAAGAATGTTATAATAATAGACTTCAATGCAATATTTAATTCTTTCTAAGTCCAAAGTCTTTAACTGCTCAATCCAAAAAATGGCAAGCAACTAAATAAAGGAACAATTTTATGAATAGGTCAAGATTATGCAAAGATGCCCTGGTAAATGCATAAAATCCTTCAGGAAATGGGAAGACTGAATATAAATATATTAAGAGTAAGCGAAACATGGTGGCCCAACTAAGGATATCTTTTAACAAAAACCGGTACCTTATATTATTCGGGAAACACCGATAACCAACATAGACGTGGAGTAGCAATTATTGTCGATACAGAGGTCAACAAGTCAATAGAGGGCTTTGTCCCAATCTCAGAAAGAGGGATGCTACTACAAATAAGGACATCACACACAAAACTAAATCTGATCCAAGTATATGCGCCAACGACGGATGCAACAGAAGATGAAGTAGAAACATTCTACCAACAAATTGAAGATGCACTGAAAATGACAAAGAACAGGGAAATCACGGTAGTTACGGGCAATTTCAATGCAAAAGTCGGCAAAGGAAGAGCTGGAACAGTAATGGGAGATCAAGGATTAGGGGTACGTAACGATAGAGGCGATCGTCTTATACAATTCTGCCAAGAACAAAGTCTAATAATCACAAACACGTTCTTTAAATTACCAATGAGACGGTTATATACATGGCGCCCACCAGCAGATAAACCGGAAAAAGTTGTAAGAAACCAAAGCGACTATATAATGAATAAAGAGAGATATCGTAACACCATCAAATCAGTTAAAACATATCCAGAAGCAGATGTCGCATCAGACCATAACCCACTAATCGCTAATGTCACACTTAAGCTTAAACGTATTAGAAAACCACAAAGAACTCCAAAATTAGATGTTAGAAAACTAAAAGAAGATGATATAAAAATCAAACTTCAACAGAAAATATACGAAAACTTTGGTAAATTAGATACTAACACTTACGAGATAAACGAACAATGGAAAACACTAAAGAATTGCCTCCTCACTCCAACCAAAGAGACATTAAAAGAACCAACACGAAAGAAAGACAATTGGATGACGACGAGATACTCGACATGATGGAACAACGAAGACAAGTCAAGAATAAAGACAGTCACAATTACAAAATCATAAACAATGAAATCAGAAAAACGATAAGAGAGACAAAACAAACTTATTATGAGGAAAAGTGTAAAGAGATAAAGGATCTTCAGAACAAATACGACCTATTCAACATACATAAAAAGGTTAAAGAAATGGCAGGGCTTCAAAAAAGAAACCACAACACAACTCTTTTAGATAAAAATGGAAATACTATGATAACGACTGACAAAAAACCAAAACGATGGGAAGAGTATATGGAAGAGCTCTTCGACGACGAAAGAGGAAACCTACAAGACTTTTTTTTGAGGACAGAGAATCAAGTGTAGAAATTACAAAGGAAGAAATACTGTATGCACTAAAAAACACCATAAACGAAAAAACCCCGGGGCAAGATCAACTGCCTATTGAAATCCTTAAAATAATAGAAAATGAGTACATTGATGTCATCTTAAAACTGGACTATATGTTGGGTATCGTGACATACCCAACGAATGGTTGTCCTCAACATTTATTGGTCTCCCAAAAAAGAAAAATGCTCGTGAATGCACAGACCACCGTACCATAAGCCTGATGTCTCACACACTTAAATTGTTTTTAAAGATCATTCATAAACGCATTTACAAAACACTTGATATGGATATTGAAGAAACTCAATTTGGATTCCGTAATGGCGTAGGTACTTGTAAAGCTCTCTTTGCATTCAACGTACTAATCCAGAGATGCTTGATGTGAACCAAGACATCCTCAAAGCAAAACAACTACAACACAATGACCTTCGAATTATAATAAATCTATATTATTAACAGCAGGAACACGTACGCATTAATGAACACACATTAGAAGAGTTCAAAGTTAAAAGAGGAGTGCGACAGGGATGTGTATTGTCACCACTACTATTCAATGCATACTCTGAAGTAATTATGACAAGAGCTCTTGATGGAGAAACAACATGAATCAAGGTCAATGGAACACCAATTAACAACATTAGATATGCGGACGATACTATCATAATAGCAGAAAACCTCCAAGACCTCCAAAACCTAATGAACAAGATAGTTGAGTATAGAGAAGAATATGGATTATCAATAACCACCAAAAAAATCAAATTTATGAGGATATCGAAAACCCAAAATAATGGTGAAAGCCTGACAACTAACGGTACTGCTTTAGAACAAGTTGAAAACTACCACTATCTTGGCACAATAATTCATCAAACAAACGATTACTCCAAAGAAATCAAAGTTCGAATAGAGAAAGCACGTACAAACTTCAATAAAATGAGAAAGGTACTTTGTGCAAGAGAACTAAAATTGGACTTGAGTGTTATTCTGGCAAGGTGTTATATTTTCTCGACTCTGCTTTATGGGATGGAATCATGGACACTTAACGCGTCGACTGCTAAAAAGTTGGAAGCATTTGAAATGTGGGTATATAGACGAATCATGAAGATATCATGGACCGAGCATGTGACAAACAACGAAGCCATGAGAAAAATCAACAAAAGAATGGAAGTTTTGGAAACCATCAAGACCCGAAAGCTGCAATACCTGGGACATGTTATGCGTAATGAGACATACAACCTACTTCAATTGATTATACAAGGGAAAATCCAGGGCAAGAGAAGTGTAGGAAGAAGAAGAATCTCATGGTTGCGTAACTTGAGGGAATGGTACGGATGCACATCAACTGAACTATTCAGAGCAGCAGAATCTAAGATCAGAATAGCCATGATGATTGCCAACCTCCGTCGCGGAAATGGCACGTGAAGAAGAAGAAGATGCAAACATATTACACTCCTATTTAAATATTTGCTTCACAGCTCCAACAATTTGGTATAATATTTATATAAAAAAGCATTTTACAAATGTATCCACACAGGTTATTATAGGACGATTTAATTACAAAACAGCGCATCAAAAATTTCTTTTTTGTGTCTAAAAGTTAAAAAAGTTTATCATATTGAAATATATCTCGGATAAACAGTTAAATATTTTGGAAGCAAAGTACGTAGATTGTGTTTTCTTCGTAATTTATTAGTACTACATACTAATTTAGCAGTATTGGAGTTTTTTTCTAGTGCTGTATGGTTAAACGGACATTTGTTCAACAAATTTAGATGGCGATGTTGCTACCATTTAGAGCGTACTTAGTCTTCTAATTACTTCCAATTCGAAGTACCACCCACTGGCGTGGGAAATAAGAACACAATAAGTTCAAACAATACGTAATTTTATAATTAAATGTTACTACAAGATAATATCTAGCCAAAGTTTTAGCGCAAGTTCTTTATTGAAATAGCCGATCACTGTCTATACACTGGTCCGCGACACAATACAAACACTAGCACTGATACAGATTAAAACGTTACTATTAATAATCACTTAAACTAAGGAAGTTTTCTTATCTATGAATAAACTTAATAAATAATGAGCGTTCAGGTTTTAACTATAAGCTATGTAACGATAACTAAAATGCGAGAGATACAACTCTAAAAGTAAAAAGCGACCAGCTAAGCTGGGATAGAATTTGATACTGATACGCGAGAGTCTATTAACTCCTAAACCAAAAATGCGTCGAATTGGATCGAATTCGAAACTAAAAACTACCTAATATGTAAAAGAGAGACCAGCTAAGCTAGGGTACAATATTGTATTGACTTAAACTTCCGATTTTCAATACTTGACTATTGAAACGGATTTGCGAGGGTCGCAGGTCGCTATTTCTATACAGAGGTAGGTAAAACACCTTTTGAATTCGTGTCTAACAGGGAAAATTTTGGAATTTTTTGGAGAAAGTTAATCTATGGGTAAATAAATCTTTTGAATACGTTTTTACCTTGGTAGATTTTAAAATTTGTAAGTTAATTGCTACCAGTGACGTAGCAACACTTGAATACATTTCTTACAGAAATTTATCCAGTGTATGTATTATTTTTAGTGTATCCTTTTATATAAACAAGCACTGTTAAAGTAATATTAAGCACTTAAATTGATAATCTAAATCTTTATGTTAATTTGTCTAACTTGTAATTACTAACCAGACTTTTAAATGGTGTCAGAATTTTTGACGTTACTTTAAGGTATGTCTTTTTATAACTAAATATTGATTGTTGGCTTATTTCTGTACGTTTACTAAATTTTTAGTTTTTTGCTATTTTTACCTGTAAAATTTTTATATTTTGTTAATTTTCGAATAATTTAGGAAAAGATGAAGACTTAACTTCTTAATTTGTATTATTACATTTCCTTACACTTCCTATGTTTGATTGTCATCAAAAACATTATCTTCTCTAGTAGGTAATCATGTTGTCAGTTTGATTTGGGATATGCCATCGAATTATTTTAAATGACATTGATATATTAGTAAATATTTTTGATCTTTTTTAGCCATTACTTACTGCACGTAGGGAAGTGCCTTATCACAGATGGGAGCCTATATACATTGGAACAAAAGCTGAACCATTGTATAATGAAAAGCTGTCTTGGGAAGGACTTCAAGATAAAATGTTACAGGTAAATCTTATACACTTTTGATTATTGATCATAATGTCTTAAAGCCGTTAATCTATTGTACCTTAATTACTTAAACTTTTTAGTCTTTTCTAGAAATAACAGTATAGTTTGCGAATGAGATTATTCTACTATGAGATACTGAAAGCTATCTTATATACTAAAACGCTAAGCCCTTTTCTTGTCTACTACTTTACTCAAAAACCATATTAGATAATTGAAATATTTTTTTGGAATATTATTAGTATTACGTATGAGATTGTCAAGATATACTTTTGGTACAAAAAATTAATTCCGGTTTCCAGATGACCGGAAGTTAAAATTTACTTTAAGTTTTAGACCCCACAATGTATATATGTATCGAAAGGTCTCGTCGAGACGAATCTGAATATGTACTTTCGGTTGCAATCCGACACCGGATGTGACCCGAAACGCGCATAAAACGTCAAGATAAAGCAAATCTGACACCGGATTCGTGATCAGTATGCAAAATTAACTGCTAAATGATATCCATGTCGATTTGATGAACTAAAAATTGCATTCCGGTTTTGAGGTCGACTTCTGGTTTCGTTTTTATTAAAAAGTAAAAAGTAAAGGTTTAAATAACTCCCGGTGCCAAGCAAAAGTTTTCAGAAAATGGAGACATTGTAACAAAAAACATTGTTTTCGACGAAATATTTCGTGATGTTTAATACACTTTTTACTTGCATTATTATTGATGAATGTTATGTATGTTCTTGCTTATATTGTTTGTATTGATCTTTTAATTTTTCTCGCAAAATAAAAATTTCATTTAAAAAACTCGATGTCGAGTTGGTCCGCTAGTTTTGTACTATTTTGAATGTGTATGCAAATATATACAACGTTGTCATCAAAAGCCTAGTGAATAGAACTAGAAAAGATAGTGAGATCAGATTATACAATATAATTGCTTTTTTATTACGTATATACAGCAGCAAAATGATGACAACATACCAAAGGAACGAAGTAAAATACAGAGACAAAAAAGTAAATTTAAATACAATAGAATATAAAATTTTAAAATAAAAATTAAGCTACACACATAGAGCTAAGTATTGTCTTCCTAATTTCTTTGCTGTAAGATATTCCAGAATAATCCCAACGTATCTTTTTTTTTGAAATGGCAAAATAAAATAATAAAGGTATATATTTATCATCTACTATCAATATTGGTGTTAAAATTACATTCAGTTTTGTATTTCTATTGTATTTTGTATTCTTATCTTTTTCTTCTTCTTTGGCCTATTTACATGCAAGTCTGGACAAAGGCCTCCCCATGAGTTCTTTACTTTTCTCTGTTTTGTGCTCTTTGGTGCCAGTTTTGCCCCACTTTTGCTTTGATGTCATCTAGCCACCGTTTTTGTTGTCTTTCTCGACTACGACCATACTCGCGTGATTCTCGTCCATCTTTCGTTGTTTTGTCGTGCCAGCTCCATTTCATTTGTTCAATTCTTCCAATTTCATCTTCCACCTTCGTTCTGATTCGCATATCTTTATTTCGGATATGTTCTCTCAGAGAAACTCCTAACTGAGCTCGTTCGATTTTTTTCTGTGTTGTTCTTAATCTATTGGCTGAAAAGTCGAAGTGTCATGGTCTTTATTGCATAGGTCATAAGTGGTGGAATAAAACTAATGAATACCGTTTTCTTTAAATTAATTGATATTTTTTAGTTTTTCTACACAACACTGAGTATTCCTACTGCCGTCCAAGTCATTCAGATTTTTCTAGTTTTCTCTGCCGTTTGATTCTGTTTGCCTAATTTGATCATTTGAGCTAGGTATATACTCTTCGACATTTTCGATCTCACTTTCATCTAAGTCTATTGTTATGTTTTAATTTAAACTCACATTTGGTTTAGTTAAATTCATTTTTAAACTGATTTTCGAAGATTATTGTTTAATATTCTTATTGCTACTCTAATTTCCAATATCTTCTTGTCTTACGTGCTTAAGTTTTAAAACCCGCACACTGTATGTTAGATAATTTATTTAGATAATATGAAATCTTTCATTTTATATATGAATTAATTGTTCTAAGATCGCTTTTCTAACCAATTCCAATAATACTCTTCCTGCAAGTTTCTGATTGGTATTTGTAATGTTTTCATCCTACTAAAGTGAGTTCAGACAATCTTTAATTACTTAAATAGTAATAAGTAACAACAAAGTAACAAAAATACTTAATCGTTAATGAACTCTTTATCTTGCTGTATACTGGATCCTTGTTCCAGTGCTTGTGTAAATTCCATGATGTATTGGAGGTATAAATAAAAGTAATTTCAAAAGACCTTTTTTTGCTTCGGCTATTGGGCGTCCATCGGGATAAAGATAATCTAGCTAAAGTATTTCCCTGGATGTCCCCTTGTTTAGTTTATTGTCTATTGTAGTTTTATTAATATATGGCAAAATGAAAAACTTGGTGGACTGTAAACACTGGCTTTATTTGAAATAACAAAACTCTGTTTTTAAACTAAACCACTATCGTCCTTTGTAAAATGGAACTATGTAACGAATTTATTGTTTGTTCACTGAACTGCGAGCTGCTTGCTTGATGATGTCTCGGTGATGTCTTCTCTCCTTTCTGTTAGGTGCGCGCACTCCTAGCTGAAGTCACGCACACAGTTGCCGGTTGTAATAAAAAATCTAAAATAATTGTTTGCGGCGCAAACATGCCCCCGGCCTTGAAAGCAAAAGGCTTTAGCTTTCAATTGGTAATGGACAAATTTTCGTAAAGCTCCGCTTAACGATTCCATCTTGGGTCTTGATTGATGCTACTCTTGCGACGTCATCAGAGCCCTTGAAAATATGAACGATGCGACCTAAACGCCATTGAGTAGGTAAAGTATTGTTCGACTTAAGTAAAACAAGGGAACCCTCAGATAGGCTGCCATGGTTGGTTTTCCATTTGGTTCGGTATTGAAGTTCGGCGATGTATTCGAGAATCCAACGTCGCCAAAAATGCTGACACAATAACTGGATGTGCTGATATCTGGTAAGACGATTTACTCTTTCTTTAGTAATGTTGCGGTCTGGACATGCAACCAATGGTCGACCAATTAAAAAATGAGCAGGGGTTAATGGAGTATAGTCGGATGGATCGGATGACAGCGGACAGAGCGGACGGGAATTTAATATAGCCTCAATTTGATTTAACATGGTATTGAATTCCTCAAATGTAAAATGAGTATTTTGAAGAACTCTCTTTAAATGATGCTTGCAACTCTTAACACCCGCTTCCCAGATTCCGCCCATATGTGGTGAATATGGTGGGTTGAAATGCCATGAAATAGCTTCTTGAGTATATGCTTTCTGCAAGGTTAGTTCGTTATTAGAAAGAAAGGTGCCTAACTCTTTAAATGCACCCACGAAATTAGTTCCGTTGTCGGAAAATATCTTTATAGGCTTGCCCCTCCGTGCAACAAATCTGCGAAGAGCAAGTAAAAATTCGTTTGCTGAAAGACCTGAAACAAGTTCCATATGCACCGCCTTTGTAGTGAAGCAGATAAATAAGCTGATGTAACCTTTAATTATAGAACCACCACTCCCCTTGTGCGTTTTGATATTGAAAGGTCCAGCATAATCTACTCCGATATAGCTAAAAGGACTAGACAAATTGAGGCGCTCCTTAGGTAAGTTACCCATAATAGGTTGTATGGTCTTTGGATTAAATCGAAAACAAGTGAGGCACGATTTAACAGTAGACCTAGCGAGTCTTCTGCCCCCGATGGGCCAGAATTGCTCTCGAATAGTGGCTAACAAACCCTGAGGACCAAGATGCATTAATCTATAGTGTTCAAATTGAAAAAGAAGCTGACAAAACTTGTGCTTTGAGTCTAAAACAATGGGATGAATTTTATTAAATTCATAGGAAGCATTGATCAGACGACCGCCTACCCGCAGAAGTCCTTTATCGTCCAAAAATGGATTTAGACTAGCTAATTTGCCCTTAATTATTGATTTGCTATTGGTTAAGAGCTCAATTTCGGTTGAGAAAGATTCTTGTTGTGACATTCGAGTTAATGAATGAAAAGCTTGATCTAATTCGTCAATGGAAATAGGATATTTATTAAGAGATCTTCTCTCATCTGAGCGTAGAGAATTTGATTTGAAACGAAAACACACAGCAACCACTCTTTTTAAATGACTAAGACGTGAAAAGCGCTCGAATGGAAATAGCTTTGAGGTAGTAGCCAAATGAGTAAAATTCTGTTGCTTTAATTCTGGCAGGTCTAAAACATAGTCGAACTTAGAGCTGGGCCAGGAGGATTCATTCAACTGAAGCCATGGAGGACCTGACCACCATATCTCATGATTCGAAATTTGACTGGGAAATAGACCTCTGGACAAGATGTCACATGGATTGTCACGTGATGATACGTGTCGCCATTTGCAATTGGAAGTGAGTGATTGAATTTCGGATACTCGATTACTGACGAAAGTGTTCAGTAAATTTGGACTGGTACGAATCCAGGATAGTACTATAGTGGAATCGGACCATAAAATAGTTTCGTTTATTGTTATTCTCAAAGATTGCTTCACTTTATTGAATAAACGTGCTAACAAAAGTGCTCCGCAAAGCTCTAACCTAGGGATACTTATTGTTTTTATTGGAGCTACCTTTGACTTGGAGCAAAGTAAATGAATGTGAACCTTATTGTATAGATCTACACTACGTAAATAAATGCACGCCCCATATGCAATACTAGAACTATCAGCAAATCCATGAATTTCAATGTATTTATAATTTTTGCATATCGCATGCCTAGGAAGATTGACTTGACTAAGCTGGGTTAATTCAGATTGAAATTTAATCCAACGTTCTGCTAAATCGTTTGGAATGGGTGCATCCCAAGAAATCTTCTCGAGCCAAAGTTTTTGCATTATAGTTTTGGCTAACACTGTGCATGGACCTAAAAGTCCTAATGGATCAAAAATCTTGGATATTGAAGAAAGAACAGATCGTTTCGTAGGAATTTTATTGATGGGTAGTGTTTCCACCTCCTAATGTAGTAAATCCGAATTACATGACCTTGTTAGTCCAATCGTTTTTGCCTTTTCTTCTGGATCAAACTTCAAAATACATGCATCGTTTGAATGCTGCAAGCCATCTAATACTCTATTGTCATTCGAATACCATTTTCGTAGATTAAAACAACCTGATTTTAAAATGTTTGAGACGGTTTGGCAGATATGTTGGGTGTCTTCAATAGTGTCTGCTCCAGTAAGCATATCGTCAACGTAGAAATCGCGCAGAATGATTTCTGCTATCTCGGGAAAAGTCTTTTCATTGTCCGTGCCGAGTTGAATAAGACATCTTATTGCTAAGTAAGATGCACATGCTTGTCCGTATGTAACGGTATTTAGAACAAATGTTTTTATTGGTTCGGAAGGATCGTCCCTCCATAATATTCTTTGTAAGTTTTTGCATTCATCGTCAACAGTAATCATGCGATACATTTTCTCGATGTCCGCTGTTACGATATATCGGTGCTGACGAAATCTAATTAGTATTGAAAATAGATCATCCTGTAAGGTAGGCCCGACGCATTGAATATGGTTCAAAGATAACTCTGATGTGGTCGGTGCTGAACAGTCAAATACTACTCGTAGTTTGGTAGTCAAACTTTGTTCACGAAGCACTCCATGATGTGGCATATAGTATACAGGATGAGGATAATCGTTTTCTTCTATCGCAGTCATGTGATTAAGCTCTTGGTATTCTTGCATGAACTGAACGTACAATTCACGGAATGATGGATTTCTTTTGAGTTTTCTTTCAAGGCTGTAGAATCTCTGTTCTGCTTGAACCTTGGATTCACCTAGTGATTCCGGTGACTGTTTTAATGGAAGACGCACAATAAATCGACCGTTCTCGTTACGATGTGTATTTTCCTTGAAGTGCTCTTCACAAAATTGTTCTTCATTGGAGAGAATCTTAGTAGATTGGCATTCCTCCAATTCCCAAAATTTTGCTAACTGCATTTGCAAATCCAAATTAGTGCTAGTGCTGAGGTGGCATCTGATATTGTTTAAACTAGAGAGACCGACCTGACCAGATGCAACCCATCCTAGATGAGTCTCTTGGAAAACGTACTGATTGATTTTGATTTGGTTGGGACACAATAGTTGCCAAAATAGATCTGCCCCAATTAAAATGTCAATAGGTCTAGATTCGAGAAACTTAGGATCCGCTAGTATAATATTGTTTGGGATATTCAAGGTTTCATTATCGACAAATGTTGCAGGTAGATTGCTAGTTATTTCTTTTAAAATAAAAAATGTAACATCAGCTTTAAAATAGTGATATTGTGATTCTATACATATATTGCATTTTCTGGAAGAACAAGAAGTCTGATTGCTGATGCCTGTGATAGAAAGATTGGTAGCTTGACCCTGGAAACCTAAGAGATTGAATAAGCGCTCGGTAATGAATGATTTCTGAGAACCTGAATCTAGAAGCGCACGCGCAATGTGATATTTACCCCTCGAATCTGCTATTTTTACACAGGCAGTTGATAGAATTGTTTGCTGCACAGAGGGCAATGCAGTTATGGAAGTTAGAGAAGTGTTATTGTTTGCTATAGTTTCATTGTTTTCATGTTTATTACTAGAAATTTCCTCATGAATAAGAGCATTGTGCCATTGCTTACATTTTCGGCAAGGCCCTAGTTTGCATTTAGAACGAATATGACCTGGTCTTAAGCAGTTTAAACATAATTTTGCTTTATTGACAAAATTGTGCCTCTCAAAAATAGAAAGCTTAAGAAATTGTTCACAGGAATAAATTGAATGATCGCCCTTGCAGAAAACACAAACCCTGCTAGTACCGTTAAACTCGCTTGTAGAAGTAAAGCTTCGAGTATACCCTTTAGACCGTTGCTTGGCATCGAATTTACCCGATTTTTCTTGTATTGAAGGCTGCTATTCAATCTTACCTTCTATTTTTTCTAAATAGTCTGCACGATCCCTTAGAAATCGCTTTAAATCGCTCCACGTTTCGTCTTGCATCTCTTTAGTATGTTTCTCCCAATCACGTAAAATATTATTGTCCAATTTGGATGTAATCATATGAATCAAGAGTAGATCCCAATTGTCAGTACTTTTATTTAAATTCTCTAATGCCTGCAAATGATTAGAAACTTCATCGACCAATGCTCGGATTTTGTGTGAAGTTTCCTTGCTGATTGTTTCTATATTAAAAAGTGCTTTTACGTGCTTGTGAATTAACATTTTAGCCCTATCATATCTTTCGCATAGTGAGTTCCAAGCACTATTGTAGTAAGAAGCCCCAAATTTAATTTCTTTAATGACTTGTGCCGCAGAACCTTCTAATGAACCTTTAAGATAATAATATTTTTTCATATCGTCCAATTTTTTATTGCTGTGTATCATGGCTATGTAAGTATCGCGGAATTCGATCCAATCCTCGTAGTTACCGCTAAATGTTTTTAGATGCATTGGAGGCAAAGAACTCAAATTTATATTGTCATTGTCAGGAATATTGTTACAATTTGACTGATCGTATTTGCTTATCAAATGCTTAGCTAGTGCCACAGACTCGAAATAATTATTTTCGAAAGTGTATCTTTCGTTATCCTGAGCTTGTTGTAATTCTAGTTCTCCCTCGGCACTGATATCGATATCGCTTTGAATACTATCGAATTCTTCACATAATGGTTCTATCTTTTCTAGTCTTAATTTTAATTTTAAAATGTCCTGCTCTGAAATGTTTGCCTCATTTGCCATATTGCTAACTATGCTCGTAAAGCTTGACAGTTTAGAATTTAGCGATGTGCGGCGCGAAATGAGTTTTTTCAGTTCTGCTTTCATGTTTAATCGAGTGCAAACACCACCAAAGATCGTTTAAATATAGTGTAATGTTAGCAAGATATGTTTGAAAAGAAAGAAAATAAAAAATATTTTAAGCTGAAAATTGTTTCACCCTGTATATTGAATTTGTAGAAATTTTAACCTACTTAAATATCGTAATATAGTTCAAACGTATTATATTATATTCGTAATATATCTTAGGTGACTGTAATATAGTTCAAATTTAAATTTATGGCTTTTATTTTCAAAACAAATAAATAAAATGAATGAGGCTATAATAAAAATGTTATTGCTTGGAATAGATAAAAAGGATTGCTCACCAGTTTGCAGTTTGCCGGTAAAAAATGTTTATCTTTCCTGGCGTCGGCTTGACCACTTGACGACAACCGTAGAACTTGAATTTCGAGAACTGGTGTTTTTGCTAATTGTCTATCTTTGTTGCACTCACGTAGTCCAGCCTATTTGTAGTTCGTTCAATGTTCCATCCGCGCTCGATTGTGACCAATAATATCCGGCTCGAAGGACCAAGAAATGTTTAGTTTATTGTCTATTGTAGTTTTATTAATATATGGCAAAATGAAAAAATATGTGGACTGTAAACACTGGCTTTATTTGAAATAACAAAACTCTGTTTTTAAACTAAACCACTATCGTCCTTTGTAAAATGGAACTATGTAACGAATTTATTGTTTGTTCACTGAACTGCGAGCTGCTTGCTTGATGATGTCTCGGTGATGTCTTCTCTCCTTTCTGTTAGGTGCGCGCACTCCTAGCTGAAGTCACGCACACAGTTGCCGGTTGTAATAAAAAATCTAAAATAATTGTTTGCGGCGCAAACACCCCTTTTTGACATCTAGTGACTAAAAGAGAACATCTGCATTATTGCTGTATTTGTAGTAAATTGTAAATGGATTTGTTTTCTTTTATTGCAACCACTGAATCTGTATCAATTGGAATTTTAATTTTTGTGTATCAAGTTTGCGATTTATTATATTTCTTTCTAACTTCTTAGTAGAATAAAAACCATTTTCTGTCATCTTTATTACCATAAAATGTGCTTTTTTTCGTGCATGTACTATTACTTTTATCACTCGTCAGGTTTTTAAAAAAATCATATTTTAAGAACAGCCATTTAAATGTTACGATTCTGCCCTCCGCATTGATCGGAATATAGTATTATAGCAGTAAGTCCACAACTGGCGTTTTTAGTAAGAAATTCCAGTGCTGATAACTGGTGTGGGCAACGTTTTCATTAAGTCAAATGCAATCACTGTAATTTCTTTAGGATTTTGTTTTGCATACTCAGCATTTTGTTTCATAACACATCTAGCACGGTCTGCTTTTCGTTGGTGAACCTCTAGTGTTATTTTAAATTCACGTTTTTCTGCTTGAACTGCTGAAAACTTTATTTTATTGTTATACAAATCACATTTCTTGCACGAATCCGTAATTGGTGCATGGAATCCAATATTAAATTGGGTATTGAATATCTTTCGAAATATGTCGAATGAGACAGGATTACTAGTATGTTCTCCTTTGTAAAAGTTATAAGGGATTTCTAAAAACCGGTCTATCCTACAAAGAGGATGGTTAGCCCACTCTTGCATTCTTTTACGTATTTATGTATTGAATAATTTTGTTCTATTCCACAACTTCGTGGGTTAGCCCATTCGTTTTTTAAATTTTTTGTTATTTTCTATAATGCAAAATCACCTTACTGGAGAGAATTATGTTATAATATACGGAAATGTTGGTTAGACCGGTATTGCTTTAAAACTTTAGTTCGTTAGAATTGCGATTGATTGCAATCTACAACTCAAAAATCAAAAAAAAAATGTTGGTTAGACCGCTATTGCTCTCATAGCCTCAAATATGGCTGTGTGTGCAATTTTAAAATAATATAGTTTGAATGTTGAATATATTATATGTATTTAATATAAATATATTAAATTATATTATTATAATTATTAATACTTATTTTATAAATTGTAGATGCTGGAAATGTGCCTTATGGAATATAAATTTGTTATATTGGACGGAGCGTTTTTGGTACATTGGCCCGGAATGAAAAAACAAAAGGAGGACGAACCGTGGAGAAAACCTTTCGTGAAGCAAAATTCTGATGAATACAAAAAAATACTCACCAATCTGCTAAAAAAATACAATTCTAAACCACAATGCAAACCACAATAGTACCTATTACCGTTAAGAAATTGTATATAAGAGAAATACTTTGTATTATTTATATTTAACTTAAGTTTTGATAAATTGTAATATATATTTAAAATGCAATAACCGTGTATACCGTTAGTAATTAAATAAAAATTCGGTTATTAATAAGAACATTTTTTTGGAACCCTTTTAATTTAATTTAATTTAATTTAGACTCTATCTATATAAAATGATATGATGACAGGGCACGACACGATCTAGGAAAGAAATATGAACTGCATGGTAACATAATTAACTACATAATTAAAATCTTTATGTTAGTTTAGATATTATAAAATTTAATTCGAATTAATTTTTCGAAAATTGCTAGACTCCCGTTTAGGTTCTCGTAATTGTAAGGTAAGATTAATGACGTATAATATATATTATTTATTATAATATGTCACTGGGTAAGATAAACATACACTCACTATAAAACTAAATTAACATTTAACAAATGCCAACGCTTTACCTAAATAAAATCAAATAAAATTAAATAAGATTAAATAAAAATAAATAAAAGTAAATAAAATTAAATTAAATTAAGTTAAACAGAATGTTGTAGAATTTTAAATAATTTTTATAGCGTTTAGTGGTTGGGGTAAAATAGTTCGCTAGCTCTTGACGTATGCTATATCACTGAAAACAAGAGCCGGAAGCCGAAAGAATATGTTGACACAGAAAAAAGAAACATTGCGGCATTGCTAAGAGGGCATTAAATCATATCTCCAATATGTTTGGTCCAATTAAAGCATGTAATATGTTAAATGGAAGAAAATGATATCACGAATATATTAAGCTAGAAACAGCAAACACAGCAACTACCAAAAGGGCGCTATATATATATATATATATATATATATATATATATATATATATATATATATATATAATATAGTATGTTGAAAATATCGGGTATGTGGTCTATATTAAATAAAAATCTTTGTTTTTTCTAAAGCTCAATATTTCACTATTTCTTTAATAGCATCATCGGGAGTAACTCTAAAAAGAAGATTTGAAAAAACTGACGTACATTAAGATTTACAATACTTAACAGAAATAATTAAAAGATTTCATACATAAATAAAATTGACAATAAAATAACATTATTGCTGATGTATTATGTACATCCAAAAATATGCATGCTAAAATATAAATATCTTTGAGCAGGTTCGTTAACAATAAATTGGATGGAAACAAGTAAAAGTTATTTCAAAATGCAAAAAATAACAATGTTAGGAAACATTAGAGGAATACTATCCTCATTAAACATAACATTAAAAAAGAATTTAACAATATAATTAAAAACATCGGAGAACAACTAGAAGATCCAGAAGCACTATGGAGTGAATTTAAAGCAAAGTTAACGAAATCTCCACAAACAATGATTATAGAAAAAACTTAATCAAAAAAAATAATTGGATGGCAGACGACATCTTGAAATTAATGAAACAACGTCGACTGATAAAATCTAATGTAACACAATATGGTTGCTAAATATGGTACGCTAAAGAAAAATGAATGAGAGAAAGGTGCGACGAAATGGAGGATGTAATATCTAAACACGACTTATTTAATGTGCACAAAACACTGAAACAAGTGAGTAATATATTTAAAAATATATTTAAAAAAATACAGAGTTCCCTCTGTACTTGTTGACACTAATATTAAAATTTTTGTAAATAAGCACGAAATAAGAAAAAATGGCAGCTGTATATAGCAGAGTTGTTTGAAGATGACAGAAATAATATTGCCGAATTCTAGCAAAACTGTACTGACGGCCCAGAAATTATGAAATGCGAAGTAGAACATGCTATAAATAATGCTAAAATTAGAAAAGCTTGTGGTTCATATGATACACCAACTGAGTTGCTATAACTAATAGAGAATGATAACATAAAAGTAGTAGTAAGACTCTTTAATTCAATATATAACACCGGAGTGATTTTCGCAGATTGGCTCGAATCCATCTTTATCGCAATACCTAAAAAACACAATGCTAAAAAATGCTCACAATATCGATTAATTAGCCTAATGAGCCACACTCTTAAAATTTTCCTCAGAATACTTCACAACAGAATTAGACGCAAATGCGAAGAAGATCTTGAAGATACCCAATTTGGTTTTAGAAATGCTATGGGAACCAGGGAGGTACTTTTTGCGCTTAACATCCTGTTACAAAAATGCCATGACCAAAGAAAAGATTATTTGGATGTTTTGTGGACTTTCTGCTGGAAATTCTGATAAAGGCATTTGATAAACTATAGCATATAAAATTAATGCGAATCCTAAAAAATATCGGAATAGATGACAAGGATATTCGTGTCATTAAAAATTTGTACTGAGATTAAACTGCTATCGTAAAAATTGGAGATACTACACTGATGAAATCACCATACAACGAGGAGTCATTTGCATTTTGTCGCCAATATTATTCAATGTTTACTCGGACCAGTTATTTAATAAGGTACTTGAGAGACAACCATATAGAATAAAAATCAACTGGTATTAATCATAGAACTGCTTAATGTGATTAGATATGCAGACGATACAGTAATTCTATTAGATAGTATTGAAGGTCTTCAAATTCTGCTTGATCGTATTCAGTAGGTAGGAGAGGAAATGGGCATTAAAATAAATTCAAACAAAAACCAAATTTTTTGTGTTTAGTCGTGACCCACATCCCGATGCAAAGCTTCAATTGAACGAGTCCAAGTTGAGAAAGTTCACAAAATGACATATTTGGGAACTGTGATAACGGACCAACTTGATCCAGACATAGAAATAAAACATAGAATAGCAATGATTAAAACTACTGACACATTTCTTTCTAAAGACATTTTTTTGCAATAACCATCTCAGTTTAAGTTGGTACTTATTTGCCCTCTCTAACGATGTTCCCATTGTTAGCAGATTGTCTGATGTACTATATACTTTGCAAAGCCCGAGTAGCCTGTTCAACCAGTTGCTATGTAATTATCCATATAAACAGTTTGTATACTTGACTAAACAACGATATAGGTCTATGATTCTTTAGGTCACATTTGTCCCTTTTTTTGTAAAAGTATTGCTAGACTCTCGTTCCAATCTTCACGGATTTTGCTATTATGTAGACATCTATTAAAAAGCTCAGTTACTACAGGGATTTTCTCCTGGATTTGTATTATTTTTTTATTTCTGTCAAAGCTTTTTTTAATTTAAATTTCTAATATTTGGTATTATTTCTGATCCCACGTTTTTATTCTCCTTCTCTTGTTCTTCTTTGTCAATGCATGAGGCTGGTTTTGCAAGCTGTACAAGATTTTGTGGACGTCTTCGGCCATCTTGATTATTTTATATTGGTCTTTTTCTTCCTTATTACTGGTGTCTTTATTTTGGTAATTTTTTGATCAACCAGTGTTGGTCTTAGATATTTTAAGCCTCTGTTGTTTTCAATGACTTACTCTATTAAGTTCTCGTTCCATTTGTTAGGTCTAACGTTTATTTTTGCTAGTAGTTGTCTTATTTTCACCACTAGTTGCTTAGCTTATTTTTATCTTATTATTCTTTACTTCTTGTTTTCTTTGCAACTTGTAGTTCGGCTTTGAGAAGTTTTTTACTTATCTTCCTGTTATTGTCGTCAATTTGGTTTTACTAACTTGAAGGATTTGATGATTGTGATTCGAATTTGATGAATTTGTGATTCGAACTTACTTGCTAAGACCTTTCGGAATTTCTCTTCATTTGTTGTTACTTTAAAGCCATGTGTTTTGTTATGACACATTATATAATTTGAGTTTTATAGGGTGTGCTTTAAAATTATTTTTTACCTAAGTTTCGTCTACAGCTTCGTAAATATTATTCAAGTCGATCTGGGAGTGGGAGAGGATATCCGTGAGTGCAGACGTTAAGTATAAATAGTTTTACGGCTGATCAAATCAAAATACAACATTTTATATGTTTATCACGCCAAAGCGCATGGTTAAATGCTACATTTGGTCAGTCCTCTTATACGGTGTCGAAGCATAGACATTAAAAATATCCACCATTAATCGTCTTGAGGCCTCTGAAATGTGGCTGCACAGACGTATACTAAAAATTCCATGGACGGCTATGCTGACAAATGTGGCAGTCCTTAAGAGAGCAAATGCTGCTCGCGAGCTGCTTGATAACATCAAATGTAGAAAGATTGCCTATTGTGGACACGTAGTAAGAGAAGACTGATATAATGTTTTTCAACTTATTATGATGGGTAAAATCGAAGGACGCAGAGGAATCGGTAGAAAGCAGGCCTCTTGGTTGAAGAATATCAGGAAGTGGACAGGAATAAGGAAAGCTGAACAACTCTTTAGAATAGCTCTAGACAGAGACAATTTCGCCGTGTTAATCGCCAACGTCAAGGGGACTTGATAGGGCACGTTAAGAAGAAGAATCACAGCGAAAGCATATATTTATAACCACTTTTGGCCTATCGTGTATTTTTAAAAAGGTTTTACTCTTTACGCATGGTTAAATGAACCACCATTAGTCGCAGGTGAGCGTGAAGCTCACTTGTCATGTATATGACTTATTTTGACTTTTTATGAGTCAAAAAAACAAAAGGCATAAATATAATGATTTATTTATCAAAGCTAAAAAAGGCAATATTTTTAACAATATACAAAAAGGAATAAAACATAAAATATAAAGTTTGGTACATCTAAATAAGCATAATTCTGAAACAGCAACTATAATAATACAAAAAAAATACTCAGATTCAGGAACTTCGGCGTGTTCACATTCTGTGCAAATGGTGATTGTATGTTCTTTACAATTTGCTCTGAAACTCTTGGCGCATTTTGACGCTGTTTTCCGATTTTTTTCTTGGGGCAATAGGAGCATTTTGGCCTTGCATCTGCTTGATTTTCGTCAGGTACATCTGGTTTCTGTGTCAAAGGAAGATTCAGATGTTTTTTAATTTGCATAGTTAGCAGAAATGGCAAGTTTTGGGCCGCTCTTTTTTGCATATTTTTACATATGTGGGGTAATGAGTTGTACGGCTAAAATTTTCAGATACTCACGTCTTGGTTGGCAGGAATCTAATACATTTGTCCTAAATATAATATTTTTATTTATTCCAGCGATGTTTAGCATAGTCAAAAAGAG